AAAATTGTTTTAAAAAAAAACAAACTAAGATAATTGTTATAAAAAACTCAACCACAATTATACTTATATTTTGAAATAAACGTACATATGTATTTCAAGATAATCTATTTCAGTATTTATTTAATCTGTGTGTGAAAGTCGTTAAATTGAGGTGGGGGTTACAATTATCTTTGTAATCCCTAAACTTTACATTTTCCTCAGTAAAACAGGCAACAGAATTATAGTTTGGACTGAACATTTGATTTAGGGTTATCTACAGTTAAAAAACAAAACAAAACTATAAACAATTCGGTCTTGATAAAAGTATGACATACTTTTTTTTATGTTTAGAATTTATAAAAATAATAAAAAAAACAATCCTGGGAATGCTACTTTATCATCAAAGTATAAGCCTAGACACTGATCTAAAAAATGTTTTATACTGTTTGTGTGGTTTCCATCACATTTTTAAAGGCACCTTAAATAGTTTTATTGCTTTACAACAGTGCAAAGACCAAACCAATAACAGTTGGTACTAAAAGAACTGAAAAACATTTGTAAAACAACAAAAATATGCTTCTCACCCAGAATCCATTATCAGCTCTCCAATCTTCCAGCTGTCAACCTTGCAATGTTCATTGTTTTTCTTTTCCATATTGTCTAATTCCTTTTCCAATTCCTCAAAATCCTTTAGGGCAATAGCATCAGGCCTGCATGAGCTATAAAGGAAAACCCAAAAATATTCCTAAATATCATGACAAGATGAACGAAATAATACAAATAATGAAGTGTCATAACAATTGTTTTATTTTTAACTCACTTGAGGTCAGTGAAGACATCTCTGAAGTAAATATAGAGCAACCTGTAGAGACAGAAACCCAAATCATGTTAAAAATGCTACATGTTGAGCAATATAGAGAAACATATATATTTAGAGACCACCTTTGCTTTTTTGTTGCATTCATTGTTTTCCTGAAGCAACATACCTTTAGAACAATAAACTCAGTAAAAACGGTGGTCTAATATGTTTTTCTTTCACTGTGTCTCAAGCTCAATATACATCCAACCCATTTTCAATCTGTCCATTTTTTTTTACCTTGTAAAAAAAAAATAGGCCTGACTAATCACTTGAGTTTGGTTTTAGCAATTTTCAAAAATAACAGCAACAAAATCTCAGAAAAAACAACCACTCTATCATAAAATTTAAAAATGGCTAATTATTATCTGAAATTTTATTTTAGTTCTTTTAGTTTTCTTGGCGCTGATCACCAAGTCTCACATTTTCATCAGCATTTCAACTAAGAAAACTCACTTAGACTTTATATTTCATACTATGACTGCATGCCAACATTAACACGGGTTCATTTTCCTTTTTTTTTTTTTTTTTTACAAACATACCCTGTTAGTCTTCAACTACCGTAACAGTTCATGCTGTAAAACACATCAAGGATGTGGACATGAACATTCAGGCTTTAGTTAACCGCCTGGAAAGTCTTTCGCCCCCCAGCAATCCTTGAGAACCACAAAAATCCATCTGTCTTATATTGTCATCAATACGGATGNAACTTTGGGAGAAGCTTTAATACCAGAAGCTCTCAGAGACATAAACTGTAATATGTCTCCATCCTACTTATTGTTTTACAGACGCCATAAAGCTGTAAAAGACACTACCAAGGATAAAAAGCTGCAGCCTTGTAAAGTAGAACCTAATACTAAACACTGGGGCACTAGAAGTGCTGCTGGTGCAGATTTCCATGATTTTTCTGAAACTTATTCACTCTGAGTATTTTTCATCTTGGGTAATCACTCCTTTTATTTGTTGTGAAAGAATTCCCAAACCTCTAACTCATTTTCCAAACTATGGGTTCAATTTAAAACACTTAAAGCTATTATATTACACAACATCCCTCAGCTTCATGCTCAGGTATAAAAAGCAGCAGTAAGACTAAGAGTCCCATTTTTCTTTTTCTCTTGGTTGGGGCAGCCTGTCTGAAATAATGGCAAATGGGCGGATGTACTTTCTAGCATGATAACGACATCCTCTAAGGACCAAACTTTCCTGCTGTTTATTTTTAGCCAAACCATGACTATCTTGTTTTGTTGGTCCTTTAGCATGAACACATGAGTTTACTGATGGAAAATGCCATGCACTTCTGAGGCTTAAGAATTTCCTTTATATAATTAATTTTAATGTTTCTTATTTCTATGAGAAGAATGTTTTCATATAATTCTACACATCAGAGTTCTGATTTTTCCTGTTAACTTCAATTTATTTTCTTGTAAAATTGTATCAAAAACAAACTAAGATAATTGTTATAAAAAACTCAACCACAATTTTACTTATGAATATTTTTAAATAAACATACATACTGTATGTATTTCAAGATAATCTATTTTATTATTTATTTAATCTGTGTGTGAAAGTCGTTAAATTGAGGTGGGGGTTACAATTATCTTTGTAATCCCTAAACTTTACATTTTCCTCAGTAAAACAGGCAACAGAATTATAGTTTGGACTGAACATTTGATTTAGGGTTATCTACAGTTAAAAAAATGCTACTTTACCATCAAAGTATAAGCCTAGACATAGAGCCAATAAATGTTTTATACTGTTTGTGTGGTTTCCAGCACATTTTTAAAGGCATCTTAAATAGTTGTATTGCTTTACAACAGTACAAAGAACTAAAAGAACTGAAAAACATA